GGGCGAGGAAAGTATTCGGGCGTAGGACGCGCGGTTCGATTAACTTCCTCATCTGGTAAATGCGCCACGACGCTGATAAGCTCGTCGTAGAAGCGACGAAATTTTCTCTTGAGTATGTTCCTTGGAGAGCAAATGGATGGAAATAAATTACGAAAGATCGGGAAGAGACGTACAGAAGTTCCAGCGTATAATAGTTGACACAGGCTATGTTAATTAATCCGATAAGTCCGAGTAAAGAAGTTATTCGGGGTATAAGTCTCCTAAACAGATCAAACAAGACAACATTTTGCTAATTACTTAATCTTATTGGACAACACTTCGAAGGTTTCTTCGTAAAGCACTAGCGCTGTTCTCGAGCAACTTAATTACGTAAACTTCGTGAAAAAAAATGTTATTGACGCAAGTTGCACCTACAAAACGGCATCGAGTATATATATTCGTATAACTTTCATATTCAACTGCGAGAAAATTATTGAAAAACAAACAATCTTTATTTATACAATCGCGTAATATGATGTTATTGACGTAAGTTGCACCTACAAAACGGCATCGAGTATATATATTCGTATAACTTTTATATTCAACTGCGAGAAAATTATTGAAAAACAAACAATCTTTATTTATACAATCGCGTAATATGATTTAGTACGGTATGCTAAATTCTTGCTCTTCTTCCATTTCAATTTGTGATTCAAGTGGCTCGTAAACATCATCCTCTTCCTTTGGCTTGTGGATATTGAATATCGGTATCGGTTTCGACTTCCGTACCGCTCTCTCTATTTTTTGCACTACAGTGATGTCATTCAAAGTGCTTATAAAATTGTCCACTCTGCAATCCTTAACGTTACCGATTCTTCCCGTTCTGCCACATCTGAAAACATACACATATTATAAATTATATATACATGTATATAAAAATTCTATCACAACTTTATGTGAAGATTTGTTGAGACACAATATATACATAGATATTAATTATATACCTGTGGATGTAATCAGCGGTGGCATTTGGAAATTCGTAGTTCAACACGTGGCGTACCGTCACTGTATCCAAACCTCTAGACCCAGCATTTGTAGTGCACAATACATAACATTTGCCGCTTTTGAAGCTGGCATACTTATTTTGCCTCTCATATAATAGCATATCGCCGTTCAAAGAAACTGTTTGTATGTTGCTATTATTCAGGAACATACTGATCCAATTGCAAGTATTATTGTTGTTGTTAAAAATAATTACTTGCTCCTTATTAGCTACTTTTGGTTTAATATATTTCAGAAGTGCAGCCGGTTTGTCGTTTGGACCTATTCTTATAAATTTTTGAGGCACGAGAATGTGATGCAATTTGTTTGATGTCACATGTTCCAACGATTCCACCTACAAAAGTATAAATAAATAACGCACCCAATCTTAATGCTATTTTACAATTTTAAGAATATTTTGACGCTGTCTTACGTTTATGATATCCCTTAGAACTTTTGACATTCTTGAAGGCATTGTTGCAGATGCTAATGTAAATTGAGCACTGATTGGTAATTTGTTATCATCTGGATTTTGCGAGAAGCCGAGCTAGAAATAATATTATTGCGTTTGGACACACACACACATATATATATTTCTTTAATATTAAAAAGATATATAAACATACTGGCACTTTCCTCAAGAATATTTGCAGCTTCTCTTCAAACGTCTCATGAAATAGAGCATCTGCTTCATCCAATACAAGATGTCTAACCATGTCCAATTTATAAATCTTGGTTGTAGTTAATTTGCTGATGACTCCAAAACTAGCTACAACAATATCAACTTCTCCCACAGGTGGATTTAACATAATTTTCTTTGTTTTTCCACCAGTAACAGTTATTGTGCGAACACCAAGATACTGGCATATCTTTTTTGCTTCCAACTGTGAGAAAAATGTGTGATTTATAAAAATGTTTCTGTAAATTACATTATGTACAAAATTAATTTTACGTCTGTGATACAAACCCCTATTTGAAACGCCAATTCTCGAGTAGGTGTTACAATTAATCCCAACGGAGTATTGTATCGATGCCCAACTAATTCTTTCCATCTTAAAATTTCATCTATCATAGGTAGAAGATATGTTAATGTTTTTCCACAACCGGTTTCTGCTGCTATGACAGTATTAGCTCCATTTAGTATTTTGGGTATCCCAATTTTCTGTATTTTTAAAGGTTTTGTTATATTATATCTTTTTAAGATATCTATTATTTGTGGATTTAAGCCAAAACGTTCGAATGAATCATGTGCTTCTTCTTCTTCTTTTTTTTCTTTTTCTTTAAATGATTCACTATACGCCTCCTTTGTTACCTAAAAATTTCAAAGCATATGTTTTAAAAGGATTAAATGAAAACAACAATGGAGAATATAATAATGGAAACTTAATAAATTATAATATGTACATTCGTAAGAGGATATATGTAGAAATAATCCCCTTTGGATTTATAATGATGCCATCCTTTGCTAACCAATGGTATCGGTTTATATTTGGAATATTTTTGCTCCTTATAAAAATTAAACTCTTTTCGTCTGCAGACTATTATCGGTACTTCTCCTTTTATATCTTTCGGTGCTTCGGTACGCTTAACATGACTTTTCTTTTTAGAACCTCTTCTCTGTATGCAAAAGAGTATAATATACATATTTGCTCCTATAATGCAATAAATAACAGGCGAACAATGTCACACTTACATAGCACCTTTGTAGTTGAGTAAACTGAATAAATGTAGTTCTTTGATACAAATTATAAAATCTGGAAAACATTTTTCTATATTAACTTGTTTTCACGTTTACACAACAAATATCGCCAAAAACACGCCGTAAGCACGCGGTATATCAGGCTGTTGTCATCTTAAGTGCCGGTGATAAAAATTTCTTTAAATCGTAAATGATGTGATTAGCAAATGATTGATTCACAAAACACATAAAAAAATACTATCTAAAAATATCGTGTTTAATTAAAATGTTTAATTTCTTTAGATATAATCGTTTTATTTTCCTTTTTGAGGTTAGTCCCTAAAGTGATTTATTTCAACTATGAGGTTATTGATAATGCAGAATGTCTAGTGAGACTTTGGAAACTTTTAGTACAAAAATCTACAGTAATCAGCTCATCGGATAAGTCAATATAATTTCCAATGCTGATAATGTAGATAGCAAATTGGTAAAGCTGAGTTGTCAACGTATACGTACAGATGGCTCAGCCTGTTCATTTCTGAGCTTTTTACTTCGATGCAATACACATTGCACAATTCTGGTTCAGTCTTCTTTTCTCTTTTATCTTATCTTCTTGTCCTGCAGACAAAGTTTAAAAAGACAGAATTTTTAATAAATTTATATTATTAGTAAGGAAAAAAATATAATTACAACTTTAATAAGTTTATTTTTAACATAAAAGATATACATATAATTTTTTCTCTAAAAACAGAAAACAATTAATCTTAAGAAAAAAAAAGTAATTATAATATTTTAATTCAATTTATATAATAAATTTATGAAATAAAAAGATAAAAAATTAATAAAAATGACCATTAATAGAAATTATTAAATATATAAATAAATATAAATTATATAAAAAAACACGAATTATTTAAAAAATTTAATAATTTTTTTTCAACGTTTGAATATATATTTATATCTTGTTTTAAGTGCAAAAATTTTTGAAGATTACAACCTAAATAAACCTCTTAACATCAAAATAATTTCAAAACAATTATTAAAATAAATAAGTCACTTTTTGAAGGTAGCTTAATAAGATAAACATATAATTAAGGAGCATACAGCCACAACTCAAGATGTTCTAAGAGAGAAAATAATGTATTTCGAAATAATATGTTAAATAATAAAAATTATAAAATTTGTACAAATTTTATTATTTAACGTATTAATTCGAAATACATTATTTTCTCTCTTAAAACATTTCAAGTTGTGGTTGTATGCTCCTTAATTGTACGTTTATTTTTAAAACTTTGTTATATATCTTTAAATATGTTAATCAATACTGCATTTCAAACAGCAAGCGCCGTATTATATTTTCTGATGTGCAACTGAAATAAACAATAAGAAAAAAGATTATTTGATATTTTAAAGAGATTACAAACTGGGACACTTCGATATAAATGTCTTATTATCATTTATTCCATTTATTTTATCATCAATTATTTACTCGATATATCACGGACATGTCCCACATGTCGTGTAAATATTAATTGTTAATCACAATCGAATTGGAATCATTATTATCAGCAACAACATTTGTTTTAAAATTATGAATGGCTAAGAAGATAAATCAGCTATTTTTTCAAACTTTTCGTATAGAAAATATAATACAAGATTAAAAGCACTTCTGTGATGAAGTTCTGAAATTGCGTGAGTACTGATGTCGCGAGGACAAAAAATTTCAGAAAAGGGATGATAATCCTTGTGACTCGTGCGAATCGAAGCAGATACAAGTCATCATAGATCAGCATCTCCGCTTTCTTTTTTTTTCAACGTTCGAATATATATTTATATCTTGTTTTAAGTGCAAAAGTTTTTGGAGATTTTAACCTAACAACCTAAACAAACCTAAAACATCAAAATAACTTCAAAATAATCATTAAAATAAATAAATCACTTTTCGATCATTTACGTCATTTTGTTCAATCGTTTTAATGTCATTTTGACTTGTTCCGATTGGAAAGAGTCCATCCACGTTCTCCGCAACAAGAGCCGCGCAGGCCGCGCTTTCTGCCGAAAGGATGAAAGCTCAGGTGAAGGAAGCGCGCGCAAAGAGCGTGGCACGCGGCCGTTTTCTTCGGATCGATGGGCGATTTCGATCGGCTGGCCGCCATCGCGACGCACGTCGGTGTTTTAACGACACCGCTTGGTGCGGAGGCGCCTCGTCGTCGGTGTCGCCGTCGCACGCAGGGTTGTTCGTTATTGTACACTGGAGATGTCGTTCTCGCGGTGAGGCCGTGCCGTGTGCGTCTCTCTCGTTTTTCTCCGCTTGCAGAATTCACGCGGAGGCACGCCGAGCACGCGGTTCGCCAGACGTTCTGGGACGGAAGCGGGATGGCGTCCGACGACATCGAGACGCAGGAAACACGAGAGACGGAGGAGACGGCCGAGGAGGACCTGAGGATCTTCGAGACGCTCCGTATCTCCTCGCCTCGGAAGGTCAATCGATGGCACCTCACCGCCCCTTCTCACACCGTCACATCATCCGACGGTCACGTTGCACGCATACTATCGCGAAAGCACACGCACGCACGCCGTCGCACGCGCGCGAAACATTGCTCTCTGGGTATCAATCATGAAACTTTTTTCCTAGGATGAAAAGTGAAAAGTGAAAAATTTTTCCATTAATCAAAATTTTCACTTTTCACTTTCCATCCTAGGGATAAAGTTTCATGATTGATACCCTGAGCGCGTGCGACAGTAGTACAATAATAAAGCCCTAAACACAATGCGAGGCAACAGCGATAGTGATAGAAATAGCGATAGCGATAAGAACAGAGAAATCCAACATATGGAAATATGCATATGTCGATGCACAGATTTTTCATTCTGTTTATATGTGCTCGTGAAGCAGATGGAAGAATATATTACGGTCTATATACGAGGATAAGATTGGTTGGCATTTTCATTTCTTTCGCGGCATTGTGCAACGAGAGGCGACAATTATATATCGCTTATTTCTATGCTATTCCTATCGCTGTTACCTCACAGTGTCTAGGGCTTAAGGGTTGCGCGTGGAGAATCAGCAATGTCCGCTGGAAATTCAAAAATAAGAGTGTAAACACACACCGAGTCAAGAGAAACTCAAAACCTTATTTTGACGTCATGCAAGTAAAAAAATGATAACTTTTAGTTAGAAAATTTGACTGTTTATCGTCGTTAAGAATAAAAATAGTCATTTTGATTTTTTGTTGATTTTTCCTTGGATAATAGAAGAAATAAGGGATAAGGGATAATATAGGTCATGTTATCCTTTTCTTAATTAGTTGTTAAAAAGAAAATAACCTGACCTTAGCGTACACTGTATCTGGATTCACGTTATTGCAAAAATTCCCTATTGATTTCAACCTATCGGAGACCGTGTATCAATGCACAGCACTTTCTGATAGATTCGAGATCTATGATCTGTGAGTTTCTATTCCTTATTCCTTCCATTGTGTCTGAACCATCGATATCTAGAATGGACCGCTGATGGCAATGGTGGGGGTAGAAATACGATTAGAGTGAGAGGCAGGAATAA